CGCAAAAGCGGAAGTTTACGGTATTCGACCGTGTTTTGTATATTGAACTCGACAACATTTCGGTGTAATATAAGAGAGAAAAAAAGAGAATTTGGCAAATACCCAGCGATATGGAGCTCACGTTGGCGTTTACTACTGAAGAAGAATGTACAACCATGCTTAGGGCTTTCCACAAGTTGCTCGAGATTTTCCAAAGTTTCCCGTAATTTCTCAAAATGTTGCTCAATCTTGCTCAAAAAACCATCAAAAGTTGCTTTTTGTAACGAAAGTTGCTCATAAAAACAAAACCTTTTTGGTCTGATGCTAAAATATGCGAATTTGAAAGCTGTTTCGATATCTCCGAATTAGAAGATAACTAGGGAAATTGCTCAGAACGCAAAAAGTTGCTCGATACGAAAAAAGTTGCTCAGAATACGAGAAGTTGCCAAAAAGTTGCCGAGCAACTTGTGGAAAGCCCTAACTACTAATGCGCACCCCAAGTTTAGATTTTCACCCAGTCATCTTACGAGCCTGAAATGTTATTTTTGTTTGATTTTTTGCTTAGGGAAACAGCTTTACTAACAGGTGTTTCGAAACAACCAGCTTAGTGTTTTGGTTTTTGTATACTCTGTCATAAGCGAATGACATGTTCCTAAACAAAGGACAATTGCCAAACGCTGATTTTTTATGGACGTTGATTGTTGATTTTAATCAAATTTCAATTCAACAACATCAATTAGCCAGTCGTCGGGTCCCAAATTAAATTGATTGTGTTTCGTGACATGTTGGGTGATATGTTATGTTTACGAGTTGGTGGTAAACAAAGGGTATATTGATTTTAATTTGTTACAGATTACACAACCGAGCGACCAGCGATATCGCGGCAGAGGCAGGATTACGAACGCCCACCGTTGATTGCCAAAGCCGGATCCACTGTAGCAACTTGCTGCAATCTTAACGTGAAAATGCGCTGGGAAATTCCCTTTACTCTCCTTCTATACGCTGTATTGATACCCTTTCTTTGCTCTGCCGCCGTTGATCAAGGGGAGGAGGCAAAAGCTCTGGAATTTCTCAAGAAATACAACAATGAGACTCGCTATGCAGATTACAAGTCTACTGTACGTTCGTGGAATTACGCTACAAACCTCACAGATTACAATAGTAAACTGAAGACAAACGCAAGCCTTGCTTTCTCAGAATTTTACAAGGGGATGCGAGAGAACGCGTCAAAATTCGACGTGAGCAAACTGTCCGACGACACCAAGAGGCAAATCCAGTTTATCACTTCCTCAGCGACACCCAAAGATGAAGCCGTGTTGCGCAGAGTCACCGAGCTCGAATCAACAATGGAAGGTATCTACAGCACTGGCAAAGTTAAAGACAGTAACGGTAAAATGCTTGCACTGAACCCAGACTTGTACCGCATATTGGCGACAACACGCGATTATGATAGACTTCAGTTTATATGGAAAGGCTGGCGGGATGCGGTTGGCCCGAAACTGCGACCTCTCTACAAGGAATTTGTGAAACTGAAAAACCAAGGCGCCAAAGAAAATGGCTGGAAAAACATTGGAGAGTACTGGCGATCGTGGTACGAGGTTGATGACTTGCAGAGCATGGTTGAAGGCTTTTGGAACAAATTGAAGCCCCTATATGAAGAGCTCCACGCCTATGTGAGGTACCGGCTTAGCCAGAAGTACAGCAAGATGAAAAAGACCGGTCCAATCCCAGCGCACCTGCTAGGAAACATGTGGGCGCAATCGTGGGTAAATATTTACGATCTCGTCGAACCATACAAAGGCAAACCCAGCCTAGATGTTACAGCTAACATGGTAAAGCAAAACTACACTCCGCTGAAAATGGTGCAACTCGCCGAGTCATTTTTCATTTCAATTGGTTTGGAACCTCTCCCCAAGTCATTCTATAATTTATCCTTGATCAGTAAACCTGATGACAGAGAGGTCATTTGTCACGCCTCCGCTTGGGATTTCAGCATCAACAAAGACGTCAGGTAAGGCATCACAATTTCTCCCTGCATTCGAGGTTTTCATTCCAGTAGTGTCGTTACGCAACGCTGGGGAGGAGTGTTGCGTGACGACACTAAAAACGGCTGCGAGGGAGACTAGCCTGTTCCAGGCGCTCACTAAATAGTGGGGACGGTGCGACAATCATTTGTGAAGTGAACAGGAAAAGTGTAGAGGGCAAGCCAGTATACAAAGCATTTCCTACTATCTACACATGTATACATGTAGACCAATGGTTTTGACGATGCCCGACGCTAGGCTAAGTACACGGCTTCCTTAGGGGAGAGGGCAGAGGAGATTCTAGGGGGAGGGGGGAGGGGTTCTCTCCTCTTTTCACTTCTCTCGTCCCCCTTTCCCCCGGAAGTGCCTGATACTCAGGCTACCCCGACGCAGGCTTGATTTGCGGCTAGGGGTTTCCTTTTCTTTCCTCCCCTCCCCTCCCCCTTCAAGCTTTCCTTTTTTGCTCCCGTTCCAACTTTCTCAACGACCTCGTGCAGAAACACTTGCTACACAGGCAGTTTTTCGTCGAGTTCCGTTTATGTTTTGTTAATTCGTTTTTTCGTATTTTTCCTTTGTTATTGTTCATACTGATGGCCTTTTCCCCAAAGCTTCACGAGGTTCTACGATACACGCATTCCCAGTAAATTTCTATATATTTCTAGTATGAATATTAAAAAGTCAAACTATGTAATTTTTCGTCCATACCAAAAAAACTCAACTATGATCCCCAGGTTAATATTTTTGACAATGAAAGCAATAAAACGGTTACCCTTGAACGCAAAAACTTTATTAAATATCTTGGACTGTTAATCGATGAAAATCTATCTTGGAAGACCCATATTTTCTCTGTTGCAAATAAAATAAGTAAAACAATTGGGCTAATGGCGAGATTAAGACATATTGTTCCCACTTGCATCCTCTTAAATATTTATCAGTCACTTATTACACCTTATCTAACTTATGGTCTTATCTCTTGGGGCAACGCGTGTAAAACTTTCCTTGACCAAATTCTTGTCNTGATACTCAGGCTACCCCGACGCAGGCTTGATTTGCGGCTAGGGGTTTCCTTTTCTTTCCTCCCCTCCCCTCCCCCTTCAAGCTTTCCTTTTTTGCTCCCGTTCCAACTTTCTCAACGACCTCGTGCAGAAACACTTGCTACACAGGCAGTTTTTCGTCGAGTTCCGTTTATGTTTTGTTAATTCGTTTTTTCGTATTTTTCCTTTGTTATTGTTCATACTGATGGCCTTTTCCCGAAAGCTTCACGAGGTTCTACGATACACGCATTCCCAGTAAATTTCTGTACATTTCTAGTATTTGATGTGTTACCTTTTCAGAGTAAAGCAATGTACCACGGTCACACATAACTACTTAGTCACCACTCACCACGAGTTGGGCCACATTCAGTATTACCTACAGTACTGGGACCTACCATTCGAGTACCGCACTGGTGCTAACCCAGGATTCCATGAAGCCGTTGGCGATACCATGTCACTTTCAGTCGACACACCACAACACTTGACGAAAATTGGTTTGTTAGAGAACTACAGCGATGATGAAGGTACAGATAGAATACATGACATTATTACCCGGCACAATTTTCTCTTTTAATTCATAAGCCCTTGCTCAGAACGATCTTCCCTCCGTGAAATGCAGTAACCTCTTGGGCTATCTAACCTCCATAACAGGCGCTTTATGAGCCAAGCGAGGCGAACGCGGCATTTATACAGGCTAGGGCTATCCAGCGGAAAAACGTTTTCTCTTGTGATAAAAAATATTGGAAGCAATGCATATTCGCACTTTATTTTATTTTTTTAATTATTTTTTTCCATATTCGCTACTTTAGAAAAGAGAGGAAAACTGGTCCGAGTTAACTTTCGAAAAGACTCCTGGGACTGTTACGAAGGACAGGGACAAAAATTAACCAATAGCTGACAGGCGCGTCCACGATCCCAGAAACAATTGCGCAACGAACTTCAGCTCCAGTTCGCTTCTCGTACCTAAAGTGGCGAATACTCTTGTTTTTGTCGCCGATGTGACCGTTTTGCAGCCTGCGAGCAAGCTCTCCGGAGTGGGAAAAGGAAGAGAGCTTGCAACTACGTCTCTGAAAATTAAATTCCACCTCCTCTTGTAGCTGCCCGTCGACTGAGCTGTCAGATTTCCGCCAATCAGCGCGAAGCGGAAACGAGCGCGAATGTAAACAAGCACTAAAAAACACGTGCCAAGGGTAATAACGTCATTACTAATGTCATCTCCGCCAATCAGCATTTCGCACCGACTTTTTCGATGCAGATTTTCAAAATCCAGGGACGTAGTTGCAAGCTTCCCGCCAGAGCGCCCCGGAGAGCTTGCTCGCAGGCTACCGTTTTGTTGTTGCCATTTTATATTTTTCCGCAGGCTCTCTCTTTTTGTGTTTTATGTTTTGCCTTCCAAATTCAGACCACGTGATGTTCTTCAGGAAATCTTCCTTTTTTTCTTTTCATATACATATGAACGTGCATCCACGTGTATAGGACGAAATTTGAACAGTTGAACAGTTCTCTGGGGTACCATCACGTGGTCTGAAATGGGAAAGCAAAACATACAAGTTAAAATGTTCTATTGTTTTTGACGATTGGAAAAAAAGAAACAGCTCTCTCCTTGCCCCACCCCTGCCCCCTTTCTAAAGGGTTAAGCAAGCAGTAATCACGAGATTGCGATCACTTACAGAAGTGGTGGGTTAACAGCTATCAGGTTTCCAGTTATTAAGGAAAGCAATTATCGGGTTTTTTTGCAAGCTTTTGCCTTACAGGAGGCTCGCTTAGCACTGGTTTGATTATATGTCCGTTTAGAATCTGATATAAACGCCTTAATGAAGATGGCATTGCGTAAAGTGGCGTTCCTACCGTTCGGTTTTATGATCGACCAATGGCGTTGGAAGGTTTTCAGTGGAGCTATTACTGAAGAGAACTACAACGCCGAGTGGTGGAAGCTGAGGACTAAGTACCAGGGAGTCAAGCCTCCAGTGGATCGTTCAGAAGATGATTTTGATCCCGGATGCAAGTATCACATTCCTGCAAACACTCCATACATAAGGTAAGCTACTTTAGAAGGAGCTGTGCCGCAATATTCAGTCGTTTTTTCTTTCCACCTGCAAAATTTTCACTTAAAAAAAAAGAAAAAGTTATGAAATGATCCCTGCATCTTGAAATCCCGGAAGCTTTTCTGATGAGTCACTAAGGTTCTGTCCAGAAGTATCCTTATTCGTTAAGAGTAGAGGCGTTGACTCGGGTGTGGTGGTCTGTCTCAAATACACACTCATATTAGATCAAAGGGCATCATTACTCATTACTTTTAAACTTAAAAACTGCACTATGAGCAGTCTGGCAAGAGTCCCCAAAGCGGTGTTCTGAGAGTAGTAGGTAATGTGATAATTACAATTTACAATGGCTTCTTTGCCATTGTCCGGCAGGAAAGAAACGACACACATCTACATCCATACATCTTTGTATTGGGTTAAATATCGACGGGGCAAAAGCCATGTCACGTGGTTTCGAAGAGGCCAAACAAGTGATGAAATCTGCCGATGTAAGAAATCGCAGTGGAGTATGTTAATTCATAATTCTAGACAACAGAAAATGAAGATCCTTTTACCTTAAACACGAGAATGGCAAATTTATGAGTGTAAGTGATAACATTTTTTGGGGAATGTAGTTGCGATCGCAGTTGTCCTCACATCGTATAATAAAGCGGTAGAAGTTGTTGAAACTCGAACTATACATTTTGCACGACTAATATCGTTGTCTCGTTTTGAGAGAATAAACAGACTCGACGGCGATTGCACGTATTGGCAAATTTTATCACTTGTTGCCCCCTGAATTATCAGGTGACATCTCTCTTATCCCGTCAGATGCTAAAGCGCGTGCAGGGATGAATAAACGTTTCTTGCCAAAAATGTTCATATCAATGGCTTTTCACTTAACCTCGCTTTGAAACAGAGGCTTGGGACAATTCAGGAATGGCTTATTACCCTATGTAACTGAGATAAAATAACTGAATCTTGCAGTTAAAGTTATATTATTTTTCCTTTCAGATATTTTATGAGCTTCGTTTTGCAGTTCCAGTTCCACAAGGCCGCTTGTAAAGAAGCAGGTCACAAAGGACCCCTTCATACCTGCTCCATCTTTAATTCCACAAAAGCAGGGACAAAAATTGGGTAATGTTATCAATACGTTCAGCGATGTACTTTCTTACAACCAAGTTGAGGACCTTAAACGGCCAGTGGCTTTTACGGTATTAAAAAAGGGGGGTTTAACTGACGGCTTAAAATTATCCCAAATTTCAGTTGTCAGCTTTCGCAATTCAGTTTACATTTCATCTTTATCACTGCGCATAAGCTCAGACATATCGATGTTTCACTCCTAAGAGTGTTTGTCAGCCACGAACCTTGTTTAGTGGCCTTAGCTTCCCATAATTCTCCCGTGGCTCAGTGGTAGAGCATCTGGGCTAGCAACCAGGCCCCAGTTGTTCAAAAGTTGGATAGCGCTATCCGACGGATAAATCACTATCCCACGGATAAGTGTTAGGGAAACCATTTGCGCTATCCAGTGGATAGTGATTTATCAGATGGATAGCGTTATCCACCTTTTGAACAACTGGGGCCAGAAGGTAATAGGTTTGACTCCTTTTGAAAGTTCTCGGATTTTTTTTTCCGAGCCGCTTATGTCTCTGACTGAAAAAACATCTTTCTCAGTTTGCAATTTTTACAAAACACTTTTTTACGGTGTTGCGTAGTTATCTTAATACCTTTTCGGGTCGAAGCAAAAAGTTGTACTAGGTTCTGACAGACACGAGATAGTGCACGATATAAAATAGAGAAAAGAAGCGGCCTTGTCACCGTGACTTTAGAAATTATTA